AGGGAGGGTGGTGAGAGTGACAGGGAGGGTGTCGTCGAAGCGCCAAGAGTAGCCTACCGTATGCCTATTTAATGTGTTCCTTGGTCAAAGTCAAAGGTTCAGCAAATCGTCGCCCGGTTTACGCCCTGTGTGTAATCGCATGTGTGTGTATGTCTAGATCTAATATCTAGATCAAGATAAAAAATCATTAAAGCATTGAAAGTAGATTTCTCCTGCAGTGGATTTAGCACGCACGCCAAAGGATGAGTGTATTTTGTGCACAGTGTCTAGATCTAGATGAGATCTAGAATCTAGATCTAGAATCGAGATCTAAATCGAGATCAAGAAGAATCATGAAATGAAAGTAGAATCTAGATATGTCATATTTCGATGTCCTATTGAATATTGAACGTGGATATATCTTGCTGTGCATAATAGATTCTAAGATCTAGATCTAGGCTAGATCTATCTTAGATCGATATCAAGAATGATGAAAGTATTGAACGTGGATTTTTTCCCGCTGGGAATAGATCTGGAGTCTAGAACTAAGCTGTAGGTGAATCTAGATCGAGATCAAGAATCATGAAAGCATTCTTAAAAGTGGATTTTTCCTGCTGTGAATAGATCTAGAAATCTAGGCCATCTGTGACGCCTGTCGGTTGTTAGAAATATGAATGTCTAAACTTAAATCTATCTGTGGGCTTAGGCTCCTTTCAATTTTAGGCCTATGTCTTTATAATTCTTCGAGATCTAGGCGGGATCTAGAATCTAGATTAGGTTCCAGGAAGCAACAATTGGCATGTAGGCCTAACTCTTTTTTTAAAAACTGATTGAGTTGGAACTTTAGGAGAAAATACCACGCCTTCGAAGAGGGGGAAGAAGTTTTACCCCTAGAGGTAGTCAAGAGGGGTTGCAACATGGCTAAATTCAAGGTAAAATATTTATGTTTTGTTTCTTTCCTGTTTTCAGTCTTTTTCCTCTTCTTAACTTTCCTAATACTTCTTCATTATTATTCCGTTTGTAGAACGGGTACTTTTACTAGTTTAATTAATAAGCGCATCTAGATCTAGAAGAAGAAGAAGAGGAGGAGGAGGAGGAGGAGGAGGAAGAGGAGGAGGA